TTATATTTATTTAAAAGACATTTAATAAATATATGTTAATTAGTTAATTTATAATATATACATTATACACAACTAATTATTGTTACACTAAGGGTGTTTGGAGTTTGGATTTTGAGTTATGATTTGAATAGTAAAAAATTTAAATTGAAATAGTAGTATGATGTGATATAACTAAGTACTGATGTGATATTTTGAATGTAAAATTAATTTTTAGTATAATACCAAAAATAAAAAATAAGTGCTTAGATTTGATATTTTTTGGGAGAAAAAATTGTATGAATAATGTAAATCCTTCTCAATCCACCAAACAAACACACCCTAAGAAAATCTTGTTGAACTACAGGAAATCAACCTATTGAGGATCTTGATGATGTTGCCGGAACAATTGTTGGTGATGTTGCGAGGTTGGTGCTGCAACTATTTCTCAGCAAATTAATTAACATCACCAAGAAAATCTTGTTGAATGGAAACCAACCTATTGAAGATCTTGATGATGTTGCCGGAACAATTGTTGGTGATGTTGCGAGGTTGGTGCTTCAACTATTTCTCAGCAAATTGAATGAGCGGTTGTTCCTGAGTAAGAGATTGTGAAAACTAATGTTAAACTTTCATGAACTCATACTGATAAACAATCTAACCCCATCATTTATGCTGATGGACAAGCCAATCAAATCGAACTTAAAATACAAAAATTAATTTGAATTTATTAATGAGAGCTTAAGTATTGCAATAGACAAACATGTCACCGGCCTTTGTGCCGGAAAGACCGAATGATTGCAAGGAGAAGATCAAAGTAATGGAATTGAGAATGATACTCTACCAACAACTAGTGATGAAGATGCAAAGAAAATTCCGAGGACCCTGCTGCTATAGCTAGTGAGGATACACAATTCTCCTGAAGGTCTTTGTTCTTTTTGTCATATGCTTCCACACGAATAGAGAATAATGCAAAAAATAAGAGATCATTTTTTCGGGAGGAGTTGCTTAAGTTTTGTTTGTTGCTGCCAACTTTATTGATTATTGTTTTTATATGCTGCTATTTTTTATGGAAATATAAAGTGGTTATAACCATATCATTATTAAGGCTTTCTGTAGCCTTGTATTTCTGCTGGCATATAATATTTAGACTCACTTTTAGATTACTATTTGTATTTTGGGTGCGTGAGTGGCTTAATTCTTGTATTTTAATTTTGTGGTACCATATGACAAAAAAAAAAAAAAAAAAAGGGAGGAAGAATGTTAATTGTAAATATCCCTTATTTCTCATTTTGACATATTGACAAAATCTCCAATCTCTACGGTTGTTGTCATCAGCAGCGACGAAACTAACTTTTGGACTTCGGGGGCAAAATTATTATTATAATTTTAATTCGATTTAATTTTTATATTTCGAATTGTTAATTTCTGTCATTTTATTTGAATAGATAATTTTGCTTATTTCTGTGTGAAAAAAAATTATAAGAACTACTCATCAGTTCACTACAACGTTACTTTTAATTTTTTTCTTATTTCTTTTGACACTGTAGTAAAATTATGAAGAAAAATAAATAAATAAATGAAAAGAAGAAAAAATAGAAAAAAAATATATCGCAAAATTGTAGTAACATTTAAAATAAAAAATTATATTTTTTATATAAAATATTTATAATAAAAATTATTATATAATATTATAAACTAAAATAATGAATTTAGGGATTAGAAATAGAATAAAAATTTTGAAATGGGGAGGGGAGGCAAAATTACATAATTAAATTAAAAAAATTATTTTTATTTAGAAAATATATATATATACAAGTTGACTATATTTGTGGACAGACACAATATAATCTAAACTATTTTGTCTTATCGATTATGTAATAGACAAAATAAATAATTGGAGTAAGTCAAAGTAATGTCAAATATATAAAGAAACACTCCATACCAAATCAATTATAAGGGAATTAATTTTATCTAGTCTATTGAGTCAACAAGGTGGTTGCAAACCAGCAGTGACAACCTTGTCTTAATGTGGAGCACATTTGAGAGGCAAAATTTAGAGAAAGAAATTATTGTTAAAGCTCTTACTCATGTCTCTTTCCATTTTCAAATTTTGAATTTCTATTTTACACAAAAACTCATTAGAGAAGTTGCCGGAGAATGTAGTTTTCGGAGGTTCAAATGGAAGAGCTCAACTCGCAGGCTTCATTACTCTATGGTTGTTTTAAACACGAGTGTCGGTATTTGAGACAACTAGTGTCTGTGACTGTGAAGGTATGCTAAGATTAGTTATTACGAAGGAAATAAGTTGAAAAAGTTTGTGATTGTTTTTTTGTTCCGTAATCAACATTAATTATAATTGAACTATTCTTGGATTGATATTCTATGATATAGGTTGATTTATAACGAAATTGAGTCAATAAATATTTATCTCCTTAATTTCTTTGGTGTTTCAGTATTTATTTCATTGACATAGCGTTGTTATTACTATGAATTAACTACGTTTCAGAAAATTAGTCCATTATTAGGTGTTCTAGAGAGATTTGGTGTAACACCATTTTACAACAATGGGGGCCTATTTTTCAAAATCTTCCTTCACTTAGAACTTTTATTTAAAATTCCCTTCTTAACATACCATCCAATTAATAAATTAATAAAATTGAAGAAATTATTTATCAGGGTGTGTTTCATTTGAGGGTGTTTGGAAAATTTAATTTGAATTTGAATTAAATTTGTATTGTAAATTTATTCTCGAATCAATAGACTTATTCGAACAATACTTTATGTACAAAATACAAAACAATTAACAGCATAAACAAATTCGAAATAAACTCAAATCAATTAAACTGAAACGAAGTCGAAATAACACAAAGATTAATCAAAAGCATAAACTAAAATTTGGAATCAAACACAAAAAAATAGGATTAATCACAAAATGAAATGGGCAATTGAAATCAATTTCATCCAATTTAATAATAACTCCCTGTTCGTTCTTCATTCCAGAATTGATTTCCGGCTGTGCTCCATCGACGATCTCGCGGTGACGGACGGCAGTGCAGCATCCGGTTTCTCCGGCGAACAGCGGCTGAACAGCTAGGCAGCAGCTCTACAGCAGCGGCGGATTGATACTCCGACGAACTTGACAAGCACAGAAGGCGACTGCTCCTCCGATCTTCTTGGTGGCGACAGAGACAGTGAATTTCGGCTCAGTCCATGGTGTTTAGTGGCCCGAGGTAACTACGCCGCAAGACTGGAAGTCGGCTCTTCACCCTAAGCCTCGACATCCACCAGAATCGGCATTCGAAAAGGTTTTTCACTCACCGGAAAATTCACCGGAATCCTCTCAGCTTCTCTTCCACTCCCTCTCTCTTATTGGTTTCTACTTTCTACTTCTTGAGAGAAAACTGATTCACACACTCTCCAAACTTAACTACCTAACAAACTTATCTCAGGGACTTGGGCTTGGGTTTGAGGTTTGAGTTTGGGAATAAAGAATTGGGCCGATCCGGTGGGTCGGACTAAGAGTGGACCAACTTATTATATTTCCGAATGATTCATTGGATTAGGTTTCAAACGGCCAAAAGTAGCAATAATTTGAATTTTTAGATGAATTTTGATTTTTGTATTCTTTTTAGGTTCCTAGGTTTGATTTGATTTTGATTTGTATTGATTTGATAAATAATAAATATAATGATATAAATATATATTAAATTAAATTTATGAAATTAATAATTATATGATTTGAGTATTAATTTGTATTAATTATAAATAAATATTTATATATTTTTTATTTATTTGTATTATATAAAATTTTATATTGTAATATTTTATTAAATTATATTTATTAAAATAATTAAAATGCTAGAGATTTGCACACCAGTGCAAAACTCCAATGTCACGTTTGGTACATAGAATAGAATTGCAGAGAAAAAATAGAATTAGAGAGAAACGAAATTGAATAGAAAATGAGAATTAATTATCTTTTTGTTAAAATAGGGAATTCAATTGAGAAATGTATATAAAAAAATGCATTATACGAATGAATCAAACAAGAATAAATGATTAATTGGATAAAAAAAAAAAAGAGTTTTAACTAATGACAATTCATGAAAAGTATTTTTGGTGACTTTTTTTTTAAAAAAATTTATAAATTATATAAGATGTTTTATATTTTAGTATAATTTCTTAAAAAATCGTAAAACTTAAATACTTTAACAATAAATTAAATTTGATTTTCGTAAAATTAAAATAATATATTCAAAAATATATATATAAAAATTAGATAGTACAAAAAAGATTTTAAAAAATTAAAAAAATATATACCCCTGTATCATTTTTTTCTATTTCTCTGGATATATGAAATAAATGAAAACAAAAAAATAAAAATAATTTATTTTTCAAAGTTTCATTTAAGAAAAATGAGACCATTTCTATTTCTCTGATCTCATTTCTCTGTACCAACGGTGTGAGTTAGTTTGTTGAGCAATCCGAATGGCACAGTAATTACACTGTTTCAAATTTATAATTCCTCCGCCCATCAAATTCCGTCAAATTTATTATTACTTTCTTTTTTAATCCGTCCGTCAAATTCCATCAAATTTATTATTACTTTTTTTTTAATCCTTTCGTTAAATTTACACTTTTACTAATTTTAGCAAATTTAACGGATTAACATTTAATTATTATCTTCAATTATTTTTTAATAAAATATTTATTTTTCTTAATATCCGCCCAAAGTGTGCTAATTTTATGGACTGAGGGAGTAGAATTGGCGCAATAGAAACACACCCTAAATTTTATGTAGTAAGGAAGCATTACATCAAAGATCATATCATTTAATTCATAATTTCCAATTAAGAAATTGTAATCTGTTCGGTACCTAACATACAAAAATTTCGATTATATTTTTCAATTATCATAATTAGTTAATTAATCAACATCTCTTTGTAGCAATTGAATCTGTCAATGATTGTCCAGCAACAAGCCAAAAAAAGAGAAATATAATTTTATAGAACAAGCCCTGTTTAAAAACACTTGGAATTATTTATTTCTCCTAATACTTGAAAACCTTCTTTGGTTTTCAATCTTTTTAGTTCAAACTACAAAAGTGGAAGCTTTCTGGTGCAAAAAAAAAATCAAAAAAGTTGCAAAAATCTCAGTAGAAATTGGTGTAACAATCAGCAAGTTTGTTTGTGATGCTTCCATGGAGATGATCATCTAAGTTCCAAAGGCCATCCCACATGAAGATCATGTCCTCAGCCTGATCACCGACAGTAGCGGCGGCGGCGTACGCATTGATCGCCGCCGTCGAGCAAAACATCGCTTCTTCGTCCGCGACAACCGGATACGCCGCCATCTCTTGCTTGAATGCTGCCGCGGCCATTCTGAGGTCGGTTTTGCCGGCGTTTAGTTGATCTTGTTGGCGCTGCTGCTGGAAGAATTGTTGCCTCCGGAGAAGACGGGCGCGTGTTTTTTCAGCGTTTTGGGACGAGGATTTCCCCCGTTTCTTGAAATGAGTTCTCCAATAGTTCTTGATCTCGTTGTCTGTTCTTCCCGGAAGGCTTCTAGCAATAGTCGACCACCTGACAAGGGAGAGATTAATTATGAAATTTTTACAAAAAAAAATTGTATAAATTTAATAATAAAAGAATAGATATATACACTCTCCGTCTGTCAAAATTATTTTTACTTTTTTTTTTATGATTTTGTTTATTAAGAGTATGTTTCTTTTGATGTAGTTTGGAATTTTTAGTTTGAATTTGGTATTAAAATAATATATGATGGGATATTTTACGAGAAAAAAAATATATATATTTTTTTAAAAGCGGAAAGTTCAAATAGTACAAATTTGAAATTTGAGTTAAAGAAGCACACTCTAAGTTTATACTATTACTAATTTTGAAAAAGTTAAAATATTAATATTTAATTATTATATTTTATTCAATATTTACACATACTCGGTGTCCCGTTTGAAATGGGACTTTTGGAATTTTATAGTAAATTAAAAAATAATAATATTTTATTAGTTAGTGAAAATGTGTAAAAAATTTTGACATTTTTGCTCTTTGACTTTTAGTATAAAGTAATTGTATGCGTAAATATTTGTAATTTAAATAAAAGTTAAATGTATTTCAGTATTAGTATATGATTTATGTTTTTTAAAAAGAAAGGACATTGATACTTTTTAATTGAACATAAGGAAATAGTAAAACTAGTATTTTGAATTATGATGAAAAAAGTATCATTTACTTTCTTTTTTTCATTCTCTTTAATTTTCTATAAATATCTCAACTATTTTATATATTATAATAAAATATTTACTTTTCTTAATTTTCATGATAACCCAAAATAAGCTAAAATTTTCGGACGGAGGAATATAAAAAAAAAAAAAGACACAAAGTAATATAAACAAACCTGTTTCCCCATATAGCATGAAGCTCGAGGATAACGCTCTCTTCATGAGGCGTTATCCGGCCCCTTTTAAGATCGGGTCGCAAGTAATTCACCCATCTCAATCTACAACTCTTCCCATTTCTCTTCAAACCTAATTAACCGAACAAATTCAGATCGAATCAAGAACAATGTTAACAACTTCAAACACTACTAAACAAAGCATCATATATATATATATACACATATATTATAAAAAAAATAGTATATTTGTAACACAATTCCGTCCATAAAGTTCACATAGCTAATGTAATCTCATTACTAATTCCGTCTCTAATATCATTAGTAACAGAAAAAAAATGAATTTAGAGACTAAAAACCCTTGTTACAAAAATTGATATTTTCTTTTAGTTATAGATATATATATATACGCGATCGAAATGCCGGATACCTGCAAGCCTAGCCACATTGTTCCATCGGCCTTCTCCGTGAAGCTTTACGTACTCGACGAGAAGTCGATCTTCTTCGGCAGTCCATGGCCCCTTCCTCCAGCCTTCTTCTGCTTCCATGATTCCCCACTGTGCCATTACACACGATAAAATTATTCAAAAGGCTATTATGTGTATATATATATATAGATATATGTCTATCTTTATATGTCCTAAATTTGCCTTATATGATATGAATTTGGGGGTCCTGGCTTCATATATTTATACTGGATTCCAATCCAAGGTTGTGCTTTAGTGCATCACTCCATTAATTATAAATAATGTTAATTAATATATATATATATATGTATGTTTCTGTCACTGTCGTAGGGATCACAACTCTTTTGATTTTTTCTTCATATCTATACATCACAACATTACTAATATACCCTCCCTTCTTGATATGTCCAAAAGTTTATAACTAAAAGGTGTTGGATTCATATAGAAGTACACTTCTTTAAATATTTGAGCGAATCATATACTTCCTCGTCATCGAAAAAAGACTGCTGTTATAGTGCTGAATTTAAGTTGAATAATACACCGTGTGCTAATCACTATAAAAAAAATAATATATTTGTAACGGAATTTTGTTCCTAAAGTTCACGTAGCTAGCGTAATTCCATCTTTAATTTCGTCTCTAATATCATTAGTAACAGAAAAAGTGAATTTAGGAACGAAAAAACCTTGTTACAAAATTGATAATTTCTTGTAGTGAATAAACAACATATAGTATTACCACAAACAACAGACAGTATGCGAGATAAATACAATATATAATATAATCTCACATAATACATACAACAGGTATTTTAGTACATATACTCTTATACAACACACGATACACATGCTCTATGTAATAATGATATGTGTTATTTTTTTATTTTATGTGTTTCGATTTTCACCTTAATCCTCCCTGTTTTAGTATGGTGCGTATTTCTTTTTATAATTAAAAAATAAAAAAAATAATACTTTTTTCATCATGCAAATGTGTGCTTATTTGATCGAACATAAATTTCAATAAAAGTGAGTAATAATTATTTTTTTATAGTAAAAAAATACAAAAATATAATGATTTTTTACTTAAAAAAAAATAAAAATATTTATTCAAAGACAACCCAAAAAAAAATAAAAATGAACATATGTTAAAATGACATGAGAGAATATAACTTTTTACTAAAACAAAAATATATTTGCTTTCTTTATAACAAAATGAAAAATGAATATATATATATATATATATTTAATTATAACCTAAAGAGTATGTGGTATATATTAAAAAATTATTACTCCATCCGTTAATGTTACTTATATAATTATATTAAAATTATTTTTACATATATATTTTTAATTTTTTACTAATCATATTACTCCGAAATTAATATGTCAGTATCCTAACTACGACACTATATTTGCTACGGAGAGAGTAATTTTCTTTGTGGATTAAAAATTACTTGAAAACTAGTAAACACAACTAAACAATAGTTTTGAAAAGATTTTTTTAACAGTAAGTTATAGAAAATTGTGTAAAAAAAAATATAAAAATATTAATATATGTAATATATTAATTTTTTCTAAAAATATATATTTTTGAAGAAATGTGTTTTTCACAAAAATAAAACACCCTTTCTATTAAAATTTTGAATTACAAGAAAGAATGACGACTTTTAGTAAACAACAGGGTGTAATTTACCATTAAATTTATTTTTCATTTAGAGTATATAGCATCTAATATTTATTTTTATTTAATAATTTATTGTTTTAAAATTAAGTAAAATATGGTGACACTTAACTTCTTTAAAGAAGATTCTTGATTAGTTTGTTTGTTTATAAATTTGGTTTGGGGTAAATTGCTTTTTTAGGTCCCGTAACTAACCCCTTTATCATTTTAGTGGAGCCTGTCATAAACTAGTCCCATAAATGAAAAATTTTCGTTGTTTTAGTCCTCCGGCGCCGGAGACGCTCACGTGGCTCGCCGGAGGTGACGTATCCGCCAGGTTAGCGACACCTGGCGGACAGGTGGATTTATTTATTTTTTAATTGGACCAAATAAAATAAAATAATAAAAATAAAATTTAAAATAAATTAAAATAAGTTTTAAAAAAAATTAAAAAAATAAAAAATAAATAAAAAAATCCATGTGTCCGCCAGGTCAGCGACACCTGGCGGACACGTCACCTCCGGCGAGCCACGCGGGCATCTCCAGCGCCGGAGGACTAAAACAGCGAAAATTTTTTACTTATGGGACTAGTTTGCGATAGGCTCCACTTACGGGACTAGTTTGCGATAGGTTCCACTTACGGGACTAAAATGATAAGGGGATTCAGTTACGTGACTAAAAAAACAGTTTATCCAAAAAATTATACCAAAATCGAATTTAAATTATATATATCTATATATTTTCATAATTAGATTAGGGGTGTGCTTGTTTGGGTTTTGAATTTTTGGTTTGATGTTTTTGAAGATTTTTACTTTAAGAATCTTGTATAAAACTGAAGCAAGCAAACACAGCCTAAGATGTTTAAGGATTCAATGTATTGTATTGTTTGGCGCAACATCTAAAATGCCTTCTAAAGTACCCCAAACCACACTGGACGGACATTCGTCCAACAGTTAATATTATTATAAAGAAAGAAACTGGACAATCATGCAAATAAGATACATACATATATAAATATATATACAGACACAAGGGTGGAACTACACGGGGGCTAGAAAGATGAACTGACCCCCCAATCTTCAAAATATATGTATTTTTTGACATAAAAAATAAAAAAATTATGTATTTTATAGTAATTTATCCCTTCTAATTTTTTATTTTATAATATAAAAAATCATAAATTTTTATCGGTCTGTTGATTTATACTTTTAGTCTTTAAATTTTATTTTTTATAGTAAAAAATATATTAAATTTTATGTAATTTTATTGAATTTTTTTTTTTAAATTTAGATTTTTTACTTTTTTATTTTTTGCTAGGGTGTACTATAAATAAAAAAACAACAACATTGAATCAATAAAAAAAAATTGATTTTGCCTCCGAACTTTTACTGCTGATTCCATCTCTAAAAATATATATATATATATATATATAATTCATAAGGGGCAATTTAGGAAGTAAATTAAATTAATATAAAGATTTGCCGAGGCATTAGGCGACAAGGTAGCCAGCCAACAACAATCTTAGCCCCAAATCATATAATGCATCAAACAATTAATTATCTCATCAACTGCCACGTACTACTACTCTATCTCCTTAGATCAATTCAATATTCTTATAAATTAAACTTCCAATTTCACTACACTACTGTAATCAAATAAAATATCATCTATTCGTCTCAATACAATAGTTTTATTTATTATTTTTGTCCGTTAATTTTATTTTCATAAATAATCATATCACTATAAAATTACTCTTATTTTTTACATTAATATATTTATAAGAACAAAAAAATCTTTTACTCGTATTTTCTACCTACTACTAATATAATATCAATATTTCTTAAATATCGTATCAGATACAACTCAAACGAAAAAGTATATTAATATAATAAATATATATAGCAAGTGGGGGGTATGGTGGCTAGTTTCTTTAATGGTGAAAGCCACAGGATGGCCAATAGAATGTGGGCAGGTGTAGATTGGGATGGATATATATGTGCTTACCAGTTAAGGATTAAGAAGAAGAACAACAATTACAAAAAGAAGATCCACGCCAATATAATAATAATAATAATAATAATAAAAATAATAATAATATTCTTAATTAATTGTGATGCTAATGCTAGCTGTTTTGTTTTTGGGGAGTGAGTCTTTTGTATATTTATAATAATGGCAGCGATTACAGTACTGAATTTTAAAATTTAACGCCATGTTGACAATAATTGCAGCACGCACACTGTATGCAATCAGACAACATACGGTTTACTATAGACAGCACATCGTACGCATTTATATAATACAAATACAGTATATGAACTAACAACATATGTTATAATATTATACAATATAAAAAATAGTTAATTTCAGCATACCAGTACTGAATTTTAAAATTTAACGCCATGTTGACAATAATTGCAGCACGCACACTGTATGCGATCAGACAACATATGGTTTACTATAGACAGCACATCGTATGCATTTATATAATACAAATACAGTATATGAACTAACAACATATGTTATAATATTATACAATATAAAAAATAGTTAATTTCAGCATACCACATACTGTTATATAATAAATTTATAATTATGAACCAACGAGACAAATACAACACGTAAACTAACAACACATATAGTAGTCTTATGCAACATGAATAATAATTCATTTCAGCACACCAAGTACTATTATATAGCACACTTATAATTATAAACCAACTACACATATCTTTACTATACAGCATGTCCTGTGAATAATAAAAGTATGTGTTATTTATATATATATATATATCTCACGGGTGCTGTGAAAAATCAGCACGTACTGAATTTTCCAAATCAACATCCTTACCGTTCCCTACAAGCATAATATATAGATGTTAGAAGCAAAGATGATTGTGGTTGTGGTAGTCATGCATACGTCATCAGAGGACAGGTGGCCGGCGGTTGATCGACTGACTATACTCACTGGGTGTGCTAAGCTTTCGCTAGCTGTATACATATATACATATATAAATAAATAATGGAAACCATTCATATTTGTTAGAAATTTTTTATAAAAAATAATTAAATTATGTTTGATCATCAAAATAAGAGTTTATATATAGATAAAATAAAACATATTTAATAGACTCAAATATAAATAATCTAATTTATAAATAATACTAAATTTAAATTAAAATTTATTAAATATCTAAAATATCTTAACAATATTTATTAAATATTGCAATTAAATGTTACCAATTGAGTAACCCAGCCTGCTGCTGCACTACACTACTACACTGAGGGAAAAAACTCTCGATATTCCATAAAATATTCACGTTACTGTATGTACAAAATTTTTTAAAAATTATAAGTAGTAAATAATTAAAAAATATATTAATAAAAATAATTATAATATAATGCAGATAATTATAAATTAAAATTAAAATAATTTAATATTTTAATTAATTTAAAACAATTATAAATTATAAATTTTAAAATATATAATTAATTTTTTTTAAAAAAAGAACATAACACTTTATGTGGAGTCGAGAGTATCAACCAACAAGAT